AGCGGCAACCTGTATCCACAGAAATCATTCCTGTACCGGCACGGGCATTTGGCACGGGCAGTCCCCTCCCCGAGTGACTCTCCGGGGCAATGGGCTCTGCCAGTGTGGAGTTCTCTTGAGCAAAGCCATCCGTGTTTAACCTTCCCAGGCAGACTTTCAGATTAAGTTCGCATATACTGGGAAAGCAGAGCATACAATTTACTCCCCTGTTTGACATAATCATAGGCTGTTCCAGTGCCTGGAACAATTTAATGAATACCTTAGGACGGGTTTTGCTGTCAGATCATAATACCACCGTTCACAAAAGCTCTTGCCACTGTCACCATCGCTGTGTCTGACGCTGTGACAATGAAGAACCCCCAGAGCGCTAGGTAGCGGTGCACTGATATGATAAATGAATTTATTCAACCTGTTTCAACCTGCAATGACTATGCAGAGGAATATCCTCTCTGGTCGCTCATTCTTCGTCCACGTTTTTAGGATAAAAGATTGGGGAAAGGTATTTCATTACTCCCAACTCAGCCAAGGCACACTGTCAGCTTCTTCACTCATGTTTATGCAGTGCTAAAGCTCTAGTGATGCCATTGCGCTCCTCTAATAAACCACAGGGGTTTCACAAGAAGGTTGCAGCACAGCCCTGAGAAAAAGGAAGAAAATGAGCCAGAGAGAGAGAACCATGAAGGATCGCGCTGTGAACAAACCCAGACTGCCTCCAACAGTGCTTTTTTTTTCCCCTCAGTGGTCTGAGAACCCAGAAACCTGGAGCGACGTTTTGGGCTTTCAGTGAAGCCTGTGCTGCTGGAAAGCACTTTGAAACTCGCTCCAGTTCTGGAACTTCTCGAGGTGACGGGCCAAGACCTCAGAGATGTGCCGAAAGGAAGAGCTGAGAAAACGCATTTGCATGAGACTTGAAGAAGGGTACACGAGGGGCTGATGGCAAAACCACGCTCCCTGACACCCTGAGATAACCCTGTCATGACACATGCTAGAAAGACACTGATTTTTGGGTCTTTATATGGAGAAATCTGGGGCTGACTCTAAGGTTGGTAGAAAGAGAAGGTAAATGGTGAGACCCTGCTGTCTGTTGCAGGGGGTGTTTGGCAGAGCTGCGTGTGCAGTCGGGCTGGGGAATTCCCCGGCACAGGGAAAACCTCAAGCAGAGCCTGTTTTGTCTCCGAGATGGGCTTCTGCCCTCCCTACCTCTGCCTCAGGCAACAGCCCTGCTCATGGCATCCCTCAGGCACTACCAACGCCTCGGGCACCTCTACGAGACACCACAGGACCACGCTGAGCAGAGGCGGACACCGAACCCTGGGGTGGACAAGCCCTGTTTGCAGACTCAGCCTTTTCCCCTTCCTCCTCCCTGCATGGTTGCAGCTGGGGTTTTCACTGCTTGGGTGCATCTCCAGCCCCACTAGGTTCAACCACTCCATCTGGTTTTAGCCATTCCTGGTGCTTCCTTTCAGCTAGCGATGACTTCTGCAGCCTCTCAACTAACAAGCTGCTTATTTATTCATTTAGGTATGAATTATTTTGGGCATTTGGGGGCCTTCACTTAACTGAACCAACACAGCATCACTCTTACAAGTACTTCCCCAGAGTGCGCGCGTGGGTAATACCCTGCCCTGATGGAGCAGGCTGGAGCGCTCAGCAGATTCACCATCTGATAGCCAAAACAGGAGAGGGTCCAAATCAATTTCAAGCCTGGTTTTAGAGCATTTATTCCTTTGCCACTGCACCACACGCTCGCAAAAATACCTCTGTTATGTTTTCATATAGAAATCTCAAACTTCCTCACCGCTGAAAATCAGGCATTTTTAAGTACTGTGGACCACACCAAGATATTCCAGTGGCAGGAATACCAAGATTTTTGTGCTGGAAAGTCTAAATTAGCAATGCTAAATTAGTTCATGCTGTGCGTTAGGACTAAACTCCTTGCTTGGTATTTGGAGGTGGGAAGATTCATGTGTGAGGGGAAGACGTTTAAAGCAAACAGTGAGTATGAGGCATATGAAAGCAGGGAGAGTAAATCAAGTGAAAATGACCCGATTTTCTACTGATTTATTCAATGAGTTACTGCAAGTAATTTTTTCCTTGTGCTATTTATGGGGTTTCCCTCTTCTAAATGTTACCATGGTCACTGTGGTGTAACATTAATTTGTTTATATAACCCCTGAGTTGTGCATATAGACCCAGATGTTATTTTAGAACCACTACACTTGGGGAAGATTTTTCTAAAACCTGCACATTAAAACTTCATGGAACAGTGATTTTTTACCATAACACTAATGGGGCCTCCTTCAGAGAAGGGCACAACACTAACTGTCCTACCATGAAGGGATGGTTGCTCAGCCCCACTGATGCTCTGCTCTGGTCCCTTGAATCAGCAATTAGGCTTCAGACTTTGTAACGCGCTTGTTTTAACCGTTCCATCACTTCTCTTCACACCATGCACCAGAAACTGATGGGCTTGGTTTAATACTGGATTTAATTAAGATAAGTCTAAGAGACAAGAAGCTCAAAAGCACAGTGGAAAGTATAAAACAGCATGCATTTATTGCATTTAGTCCAAATATTAGTTAACTTCCAAAAAAAAAAAAAATCTGCATTTTCCCTATAGCTTATTTTGTGGCTTATTACCAGTAAGACACCAAACCACTATGAATATTTACTTTACAGTAGCAACACAACTTCTTTGTAGCCTAATATATTACATGCAAAATACTACTTGAATCTCAACAAACTCTGGGCATGAGATGTCCAGAAATTTAACTGCATCTCAGCCCACACTAACTTTTTTTTTTTCTAGAATATAAAGCAGAATAATGCTTTACAGAAACTCGTACCATGAATGAAGCTGTCCTCCATGAAGTGTTTGTTGGTTGAAATTACTGACAATGAAGTAAAACTACTCATCGATGTATTTCAGGCTTAACAGATTGACTGATTCACAGCCCCGAGGAACTTCACCTGTTCTGTGTGAGTGGGAAGCTAAGGGCAAACATTTATCCCAACCGAGTAGAGTGTATTCTGTCTTCAAGTTGCATCAAAAAAAAAAAAAATTAAAAAAAGACCTTTTGTACTTGTTGGGTTACAGAGAGGAACAGCCACCAAGAAGGATATTCTTCCGCTTTTGGTGCTTCATGTGCTTGCAAAGCTCAGCAGAGACCTTTGATGAATTGTTCCTTTTTACCAGTAAGCGCATTATATTGGAAGTAAACATTAAAACAGTAAATGTACCTTTTACGTCATATTTCAGCTTCTCCATTTTATGTACTGGGCACCAAAACAAATCTGACTACTTTACTGAAGGTTAAAGTAAATTCACTGGCATTTCCCCCATAGAGCTTCCTTTTACAGGAGCTGCACCCGCAAGATCTCAAAATGCTGCTACAGCTCCTCCTTAACTTTAAGGAGAAAAAGACGACCAAAGAATAAGACACAGTGAGCACCAATGAACCCAATATAGTCAAATTTTAGTGTACAGAGTACTGTGACATACACAGTATAAATTAATTTCTTCTTCATTCGACCTTATGACTGTTTCCCGGATTTTTTTTTGTAGCTCGTAGTGAACATTTAACAGCATCACTCCATTGAAGTGCCACTGCTAGAGTATGTTTGGACCTCCTGTAATACTAGCACTCTTGGCAAGCTCATCTGCCTCCTAGTAGCATACTTCTGAGGGATAGATAATTTCTTCCCTTCACAACTCCCATTAAATATCGACACACAGGCCGGCACTATCACACCACTTCTTCCTTGCTGTAGTACAGTGGCCAAATGCAGTGATGCAAATTAGTCAAATTATCTTCAAAGTATTCTAACATACCTTACATTAAACAAGATGTAACAGTCATTAACAGTTTAGCACTTGTCTGGCAGTGGATTGACAGTATAGTTAAAAAAAAAATAAAAAAGATATCCTAAGTGCTATTTTACTACACTGGGTCAGGTTGCACACGTGTTTTTTGACATCCCATACACACACAAACACTTTGGTCTCCTAACTGATTTGAAGAGTTGGATTTTATTCCTTACAGGAGAAAAAAAAACAAACCCCAAACCTCTTATTTGGTTATTCTACAGTTATTCTGTAAAGTTTTGTTTGTCACCACCTAATGCATGGGTTAGCGCTTAGTCTCTGCTGCCTTCAGCAACTCCAACCAGTGGAGAAGCAGTCTTAGAAACCGTATTCCTACATTCTTAACCCAAAACCAGGCTCAAAATTGATCTTGGGTACTTACTGTAAGTGCGTTTCAGTGAGAGCACTGTATCCCTACCGTAGATGTTTCTCGCCTGCCTCCTCTTCTGCTTGGAGAAGTGCCCAAAAGCCACTCTTCCCCGCCAAAGCCCGAGTGGGAGCGCAGAGCCCTCACCAGGGAGAGCTGGGCTCCCTCTGCCCTCCCCAAAGCCTGTGCAAGGATCCAAAAGGCCTCAAAACGAGGAGGGACGCATACCCCTCTGGTTACTGACACAAACCTCCAGTCAGGAGGGTTTCTTCAAAATATTTTTGTAACGAAGAGAGCTGGCAAGGAAGAAAAATATAAAATAAACAAAACACAAGAGGGTAGAGCCCTGCCGCCGGCCACAACCGTGCCCCGCTCTCTCCCTGTGCTGCAAGAAGCCAGAGTACTCACTGTAAGAAACGTGTGGACCTTTATCCTACAAAGAAAAGCTGGAAAGGTTTCCCAGGGAGCCAGAGAGGTGAACTGGCTTAACCTCTGGTGGTGTACCTGACCACCTAGTTCCACCTGACGTTCAGATACTTCAGTTTCTGAAGCACAGACAGCAGTTCTTGACACACGGCGACTTTCAGGCTATTCTTTTTAACCCCCTGAACACTCAAAACCGGAGCAAGTATAGAAGTAGCACACATGTGAATTGCAAAGAAAGCCTGAGCTCCCCTTCAACTGGTTGGACTTGAACTTTACAAGGCTGCATTTTATAAAGATCTTTTCCCCTATATTCACAGCTCCTCTACGTTTACAATCTTGTGAAAATTATTATAAAACATTTATTGACAGTAGCAATAAACACAACAAATTTCTGTAAACAGAAATTAAAGCAGAAAATGGTTTTAAGTCATTTTTGACCAGGCAGCTGTACAAAAGCTTAGGCAAAGCAGCAGTCAGGGAGGCTGGGTTTGGAAGAATCCACACTGAGTTCAGGCGATGTCATGCCTTATTAGATCACCAAAGTAAGCCGTTATCGTCTTCAGTTTGTTATTGAGAAAATTTTGTTCTATTTCAACTTTCCCTCCCGGCCCTGCTAAGGAAGCCACCTGAAAAACAAAGAACAAAAGGCAAATCAGTCAATGCATGGGAAAGGAGGTGAACCCTCAAACCTTTTATTCACATGAAATATCACATAAAACACATCTTTGCTCTGTTAATGCTGGTGACAACGTTGCTTGGCATCTGATGCCTCTGGTCCTCCTTCCGTGTCTGCTCTTACTCACAGAAGTGGTTTGTGGCTTTCTTGTGACTGAAAAATCCCCCTCGCCCCAAGCCATGAAAATAAGAGGATGTCAGAACTAAAGATAATACTCATCGTTTCACATGCCGTGGTGAGGGGAGAGATGCTAGACTCTGCTTTGGAGGGAACTTGGCATTTGAGGCACACAGTCGCAGCAAAAAGCAAGCTGTGCTTTAAAGGTGTGAAAATCCCAAGTTTTGGGGGGAAGAGTAAAACCAAATCCCAGAATTAGGAAGCACAAAGGTTGCACTGAAAGGGTGTGTGTAGGGGGGGGAGAACAACCCAAACAAAACAACCCCAAAACCCCAAACAGGCAGAGAACCTCACAAAAAAAGTTTACTATTGCAACAACGACAACAACATGCTGTTGTGTGCACGGGAGTCGAGGGCAGGGCTGCGGGCAGCCCAGTAACTGCAGGCAGGGAGAGCCCATCAGGCAGCACTGGTCCCAGCTCTCATGTTTACGATCACTGGAGTGAGAATTTCACCGTTCACGCTCTGTCGACTGAGTCTGCTGCACACCTTTAATGCTTAACGATTACAGACAGACAGCGTTTTGCAGCGGACTTTGCATTTTGGACTGGAGCTCTCTCCTCTCCTGTTCCTACTCACGGCGCCCAGTACGACCCCTTTGAGGGACGGCAGCCGTACAGGCTACTGAGTTCTCACCAGGACAGACTGCACAGACAGAAGGAAGAGAAGAACACCCAAGCTGAGCGTTGCCTGCTTTTCTCCCCACATCGTGGGCCCCCAGGACCTGTCCTGCGGTGGGGGTCCCGGCTCCACAGCCAGTTCTGCTCCCCGCTGCTGTTTTCCCTGCCTGCTGCAGGAAAACTATTCCTATAGTTCCCAAAGAAAGCAATCAAGGTCTACAAGCCTGCAGTAGGTTTTAACTGATCTTTAAACCAAGAAGTCCGTGACGTTAGCAGCTGAAACTTAAAAGTTCAGGTTGCATTATTAACACTTCTGAACTCCTTTGAGACTTGACTCTGTAGCGCAGGTTTAAATATAAACATGCTGAACTTCCTTTATTTTACTGTAAGTAAAAAACCAGCCTACTATCAGAGGAAGTAACAGATTAATCTAAATTATACTTTGAACTTTTATTGACTTGCCCAGAAAATTACCACACTTATCTAAACCAAGCATTTACTTTTCTGTTTTGTTTTTCTTTCCTCCCTTTTCATTTTTTTGTTTCTGCAGACAAAAACAAAAGCATGAGCAGTTTCTTCATCCTTCAACTTAACGGTAATCAGAAAAAAGTCTCCACCTTCTTGTCAAGGAGGAACCTGCCACTTAAGTAAAAAAACAGAAGCTGACTGACTTATAAATAGCAGAAGAATCTGAAATTGGCAAGTGATCAGGAATGTTAATTTCCCAACTTATCTTTTCTTACTTGAAATCCTAAAAGCAGTTAACGTTGTGGAGCGATACTTTTTTTTTTTTCTATGAAGACGTTGTTTGTACTTTTAATTTACTATGAACAAAATCTGGAACGTCCCTTCCAAAAAGCTTTAAAGGTTTTGCACTTTAGAGCTAATGTTGTTTGAATATTCTGGAATATTAATTGGATTAGTCAACTTAATATAAGAATATTGAAATTACTCTCTCGAGGTTACACACTCCCGCTTTCAGGGCACAATTTGTGTCACTAACATATCTAAGTATAACTAATGCATTCATATTAAATGCAAGTTTTTAGGAAATAGTTCTTTTAGAAGACCAAGTAAAGAAAATGCTTCATCGGTAACACAGGCAAATGTTCCTCCGTTGAGGTGGCATCCACTGAAGGACATTTGAGAAATTACATATGCTGTGTCTAGTCTCTAGTGTTAAATCTGGGATAGCTAAGACTAATTTCAAATGACTACTAAAAGTACTTGATAAACCCAACGCTGACGAAAATCTAATGGGCACACGGGCATAAGCTCCACAGGGACGGATCCAGTGCCGCACTCCTCAACTCCACTCGACGTTCAGAGAAGCGAAACGCAGATCCTCTGCAAGGATGCTCATTTGTAAATTGCTAAAGGTCGCAAATTTAATTATGTAGGAGTTGCCAAGTTTTCCTCAGAAGGGTTCAGTCAACCCTGACATCTTAACAAGGGAAAGTTGTCACACACCAAGCTCCAGGAAGGTGCCAGCTTGGCAGAAGGATGCTCTCTAAAAGTTGGAAAGGATTGAGGAACGATGCTTTTAGAAAAACAAAGATGCTCACCTATTTTTAGAAATACTGACATGCATCTCTTGCAGTGAACTACAATGGTGAGTATGGCAAGACTTAGTTTCTTTAAAAAGCTGGACGAGTCCAAAATTTGTTTATTTTGCATTTTCCTGTGCAAACACAATGATTCCCTGCTGGCAGTTCTCCTCATCCTGGTTTGTTCTTTAGCCCACACCCATGTATGTGGGGGGGCAGATATTGCCTCCTTTGCCGCCCTGGGTAATTCTGCACGCGCCACAGGCTTCCCTGCGCAGAGGCAAAGGATGCAGCTTCAGTTGACGCCTCCCTGCATCCCTCTCCCATGGATGCTCCATCCTTCAGTTCAGTGACTGTGGATGGAAATAATCCCCAGTCACAGAGCATTAAAAACACATCCAGCTGCTTTGGTCTCAAGTTTAAAAGAGGGGACATCAGAAAAGAAATATGAAAAGGGAAATGAACATGGAAGATTACTTTAGGAGCACAAGTTGCTTAAGGTGCAAACTTGCTTTATATCGTTCAGGTGTATTTTTTAATTCAAAGGTTTTCCTGCTGTCCTTGCAGGTTTTTTTTTTTTAATCAAATCATCCTGAAATTCCTTTAGTAAAGTAACTTCCTATTTGTTCCAGCCACCAATGAAGGTTACTGTGGATAAAAAGCTCTATCGTAGTGTTTTCCATCCTCCAAAATACTTCTGTAAGGCATGAGAAATATAAGTTTTTTGGCTTAACAGGCAGTCACACAAGGACACTATGATTCATTTCATTTTACAGAACACTAGCAAAAGGAGGGCACCCCTCCTCTCCCCAACCAACCTAAAGGCTACGGGGGAAAAAAAAAAATCCCAGGCCACTTGGGGGGGGGGGGGGGGGGTGGGAGGCC